AGAGGTTCATATTTACTAGAGTAAATGAAATTAAAGTTTTAGAATGCTTGTATAAAGGTTAAAATAACTGAAATTATTTTCTCAGTAAATGCTTCCTCATCTTCAACAATCATTATTTTAAAATATAAAGCAAATTATTTATATAATACAAACAATATAATTAATAAAAGGCTGTATACAATGATGCATAATGCAAGACAACTGAATTTATAATGCATAACATCTAAAATATTTAATCATAGTTCTTATAGGACTCCACACTTAATAACTTATTTCTACTGAATAAAATAAGAAAAATGCGATTTTCTTCTTTTTTAATGTATATTTTCAAACATTTTCTCTCACAGGATTGTTCAATTAAAAAATATGCTTTTCCAGAGAACTAATGTAGTTATGGGTATTAGTTTTTCTACATTTATTTCTTTAATAAAGGCTAAAGTTGCTTAGGCTATCATAGAAACAAAAATTATGATGTTATTTTCAATTCTACAACCTCTTAATTTGCAAACAGGTAATTATATGAAAAATTATAGAATGCATTAAAAGAGCAATTCAAAAACAATAAATATTTCATGTAAGAATTACTAATTAATGTAATAACCATTAAAAACAGAAGTTTGTGCAAAAATATATAATCATCCAAAGAATGTCAGTCTTTGACGTTTGAGTCTTTGACATTATTAAACTCCACTTAATTACTAAAATGGCCATTTAAGGGCACCTGGCTAGCTCAGTCAGTCGAGCATGCCTCTCTTGATCTCAGGGTCTTGAATCTGAGTCCCACATTGGGCATGGAGCCTTCTTAAAAATAAATAAAATAAAATCTTTAAGGGGTGCCTGAGGCTCAGTCAGTTAAGCAGCTAACTTCAGCTCAGGTCATGGGCTCCTGGTTCTGAGTTCGAGTCCCACACCAGGCTCTCTGCTGTCAGCACAGAGCCCACTTCAGATCCTCTGTCTCCCTCTCTCCCCGCCCCTCCTCTGCTCTCACTAGCTCTCAAAAATAAATACACTTAAAAAAATACAGTTATTTAAAAAAAATGTTTAAAAAGATAAAAAGAAAGTTTTTTTTAAATAAAATGGCCACTTAAGAATGTACCTAAATGAGTGTCACAAAAATATCTTTTGATTAAACAAGAATAATAAGGGATAGTTTGATTTCTGTAAGTTTTTATTTTGATTTCTAATAAAATATCAAAAATATCAAAACATAAGACCAATTACATATTAATTATGAGAAAGTAATTAAAATATTTATACCTTCAAAATAGTATTAATACTTAGTGGCAATGAAATCATTTAATATACACAGCCAGTCACCAACAGATTATTAGTATTACTAAAATGTGAGTGTTGAGTGCTAGTTGCTGTCATTTGTGATTTGTTGGATAAAGTGTAAAATAAATAGGGAGTTTGACTCTCTTTCTTTTGCCATGAAGAATAAGCACCATCAAGAAAACATTAAAAGTCTGTCTTTTGGAGAGTGCCTGGGAATCTGTGTGCTACATAGGTTTTAACATAAGGAATTCTTTCATCAGTAAAGTGAAACTTTAGAAGAAGTCATATTTTGAAGTATCATAGCAAAGCTTGTACTATGTGTAAAGTTTACTGTCACAGCAACTCTTCATAGAAAAAAAAATTCTTAAATGTAAGGTTGTCAATCTGTACTTTTTGGAGTATTGTAGTCGCTTAGAATTAGCAGTTAACAATGAAAAAGAACTCTTAAAAGCATTGACTTTTACACTTCATTCTAACAAAACAATTTGCTATTTACTTATTTTACAGTTAATCTCCATGCTAAATCTGAAAGTATGCTCTCAATAACAACTATAATAAAAGAACGTTGAGATAATGACACAAGATGATAAAAGCAAGGAAAATGCTCATTTGAGGATATAATCTCTTTCACATATATGAGCTTTAAGTAGAAATGAAGTAGGAGAAATGTTCCCCGAGGTTACCCAGAGAATTCCTATAGAACAAAAAACTTAGCAAAAGGTATAGAAAGCCTTCCCAGATTCCAATCCTTGTTGATAAAGCCTTTCTAATATGAGATATTTTGCTCTATAAAATTATGTGCAAATAAACTTTGTAAGCAAAAGTTCCTTACCATCTTTAATTAATGAAAAGTTAGAGAAGAATCATAAGAGTTTTGTTGGTGGAAGTGTTTGGATGGTTGGTAAAGCAGAGATAATGCTGAATGTTCAGCAAACCCATTTATATTCTTCCTTAATGCGCAATTAAATTACATTCCCAAACCTCCCTTGCAATTAGCTTGGGCCATGTGACTGACTTTGGACCAGTGGTAAGGTATTATTGTTCAAAATCCTCAACAAGCTTTCTTCCTGCCCTGTCTAGTACAGCGTGTCCAGTGGAGGACTCCACGCCTCTGGAAGAAGACGGGAGAGCCACCACTGGGTCCCTGAGTGACTGGATGGAACAAAGACCCACCCCCACGATCTTTCTGACCCACACTAGAATGTGACATAAAGGAGTAATATTTTTTTTTTTTTTTAAGCGTAGAGCCCAACGTGGAACTTGAACACATAACGTTGAAATCAAGACCCGAGCAGAGATCAACAGTCAGATGCTTAAATGACTGAGGCACCTAGGCGCCCCAAAGGAATAATAAATCTTTATAATATTAAGCCACTGCAACTTGGGAAAGGCTAGAAAGTTACTCATTAATTTATCTGTTTCTCATATATTATGAATAATAAGAATTACAGGGGACAAAATAAAATTTGGTACTTTGGAGGAGGGAAAAGATGGCAATTGTATTGGATGTAAATATTAGATTAGGAATAGTTTTTAGAAACTACAGTTCACCCTCAAACAACACAGATTTGAACTACACAGGTCCACTTATATGTGTGGTTTTTTTTTTTTTTTTGATAAATACAGTACAGTGCTATAAATGTATTTTCTCTTCCTTATGATTTTCTTAACATTTTTTCTCTAGCCTACTTATTATAAGAAAAGAGTATATATAACACATATAACATATAAAACATGTGTTAACTGACTGTTTATGTTATCAGTAAGGCATCCACCCTGTCAACAGTAGGGTATTTAGTCAAGTTTTAGGGGAGTCAAAAGTTACACGCAGATTTTCGACTGCACTGGGTGGGGTTGGTGCCCCTGACCCCTGCATTGTTCAAGGGTCAATGTATATGATCTCAAGTACTCTGCAGTCGGTCCCTGCCAAACTCTTACTTCCCCAGTCATATGCTGAATTTATATCAGCTTATTATAATATTAATATTATTGATAAATGCTTAAAGCATTAGCTGCCATTCATTTCATACCATACTGAACATAGTGCTTAGCATTTTATATGAATTATCTCCTTTAATTTCAAAGTAACCCTATGAAGGAATTTTGATAATATACTCATTTTATAGAGGCAACTGATGTCCGTGAAAGCTAAGATGATCTCATGGCTAACCACTGGTGAACCCAGCATTCAAAAGGTCTTTTTGACTCCAGGGCTACCCTATTAACATACAATATTGCATTCAGGGTAATATTTGATTTCACAAAAACTACTGTTTGAGCAATGATAATTTCCTTCAACTACTTTCCTACCCACAAACAGAATCACATAGTTGTATATTCATTTTGTACATCTCAGAAAAGGCCAACAGAGTTGACTTTAGCCAAAATATTGTAATCCTGGATCTGCCCCTCATAGTGAAAATCTTATACCCTGATTTGATCTACATGCTAAAAAAATCCATCTATTAAAGGTAGAGGCACAGTAATCATTACTGTTTTAGCCCACAAATCAAATCATTCATTTATGATGAATAATTTAAATTAAAAAAAAACTTCACTTGAAGGCCTGGGATATAGTAATTACTCACCTAAACTTAAACTGCCATTATAAATGATATATATGAAATTAATGTGATTAATATATATCCTTAGAGCAGAGATACTTTGGAAGCTAAATAATCATAATATTGCTTGAAAAACATGGATTCAAGAATAAAAATATTTTTGTGGATAGAATATTTAATAGCATCAAGTATAAATAGCCTGATATTCATTCACAGTATGAATGGCCTGGTCTTTGGGACTGAGGCTCAATGGAATTAAGCGCCAGTCCCTCATCTCTGAACCATATTTGGGTAGGCTTTGCCCATATTGCTTCTGACTTCTCTGTTATCTGATTTCATGGCTAAAATTCTTCCTGTGGATATGTCAATACCTTCAATTAGTTTATGTCAACCCTGCTGCACAAGAATTTATGTGTACTTTTAAGAGAATTTTGCACATCCTTGAACTGATCTATTTTGTGTTGATCTTGAAATGCAACCATCCAAAGACAACCTCATCTTGCGTCCTTTATTTCAATTTTTTTTTTTTTTGCCAATACCTCTCTCATAATTGTCTACATTTTTTTTAAATGACAAGAATTGAAAGAATTCATTCCAGGATGAGATAATGCACACTGAAAACTCCTTCCTATCGATGAGAAATTATGAGGGTAAGTAATAGCAGCTGTTTTTTTTTTTTTTTTTTTTTTTTTTTTTTTTCACTTGGTGTAGAAGCAGTGTATCCACAGGATTCAGTTAATCATCTTAACACACATCTTGATTGCTGGGGTAAAGCTCTCCAAACTCCTCCTACAGGAGGCACCGTGTTTCTCTTTATGAAGTTACCAAACCCCATGCTAAGCTAGAACGGTTATTCTGGACGGAAGTGTGGCCCAGAATTCATCAAAGCTGCCATACAATGGCAGGGAAGGGTGGTGCTATGCCAGTTTCTCCCCATCAGTGAAAAACTAAGCTTGTTCAGGCTTCATGCTGCCACCACGCCATGCACTTCAAGAGCAAAGTCTAGTGCCACCGTCCTGGAGTTCTTTTTTTCCAAAGAGGCAAGTGCCAAGAAGAGCACTTGCCCACAAACAAGTACGTGGGAGATAGTAAAGGCAATAACAAAGTTGATCAACCCACCAGGGTGCTGCAAGACTAGAATGATTCAGTCACACAGAAACGAACAATTTTTATTCCTTTACTGTTGTTTCTTTTTTATCTGTGAGCCCGGGGGTGGGAAAGAGAATCAAGAATTCAGACACGGGAAAGAGCTGGATGGACTTAGGAACTATTCTATTACTTTAGAGTCTGGAGACTCCTGTAGAAAGAGGTATTCCAAAAACAAAAACCAAGAAAAATGCTGAAGCAGCTTTCTCGGGAGATGCCTGGATCCAGCTACTTTTCTTTGAGTTGGAGAACACATATTTGGAAACCTCGGATTGACAACAGCACACGGATGAGTAGATATGCTTTGACGTGTAGGGGGCTATCAGACTGTCAACCTCCATGGTACTGACCAATGAGAAACCTCTGAAAAAAACAACATGAAGAGGACAAGAAAATAAGTGATCAATACAGAAAAGGCAAAACTTCTTCATAATAAGACAAATATAAATAGACAAATATAAAAATGAAGTTACAAAAGCAAAAACAACTTTAAACGATATCAATACCAGACTTCTAATTTGTGTAAGTGTCGTGGCGGTATCGAATGTTATTACATTTACCAAATTTTATTTTTACTAGAATTGATAATAAAATGAGGGAATTCCATTAAAGTAAGCGTCGTCTGTGGTGTCATTGTAAAAGTTTGGTAAGATCTGAATACTCTAAACTATTTTGGTAAAGTAAAAACAAAAAAAAAAAAAAAAGAAGAACATATGAAAAATTGTTGTGTATAATTGAGCATATGCAAAACTACCCTCCCCAAAAATTATGAACAAAGAAATTAAAAGAATTTGAAAGAAAAAAATGCCAAGAATAATTTTTCAAAAAAATGTGGCAGATCCTAAAATTCCAATTATCTTACTCTACTTTTAGCAACTGTAAAAGATAAGACAGCATAAAAAACTCACCAACTATCATGGTTTCACTTGATTCTTCTTAACAGTTTCCTATAGTCAACAACAAACTGAACCATATCAGTGGACAGAAATCAGAACATAAAACTCTAAAAGAAAAAAAATATATATATACACTCCAAAGAAAAAGCTGAAGAAAATAAAAATCTAATAAAACACCCAAAATAAGAGCTAATTACAGTCTGGCAGAACTAATGAATGAAAAAAAAAAAATGAAAGCTTTATTACAGCTCCATTACTACTGAATAGCAGCTTGAGGTGCTTGTACAAAAGCTGGGTTTGGGGGAACAATGACTTTAGGTTTGTGTTTCTTTTTCAAATACGATGACTTAATAGTATATGCATAATAAACAATGGACCATGAAGCTTTTCCTAAGACTCTCAACAATTATCTTCAAGAAAGAATCTCAAACTCAATTATAACCATGGAGGAAACTTTCATTTTTTAGAATAATGTGTTAGTCCTATGTAGCTGTACTCCCAGGGGTGGGATTTGACTAAAAAGTCATTATCAAGAGGCTCTATTTTAATCAAGTAACTGCAAATCTGATCCATGGTTTCCTTTTCTTTTTTTAAGTGTATTTATGTATTTTGAATGAAAGACAGAGAATGCATGTGCTTACAAGTGGGGAGGGGCAGAGAGGAGAAGAGAGAGGATCCTAAGCAGACTCCAAGCATGAACTGTGAGATCATGACCTGGGCCAATATCAAGAGTCAGACACTTAACCAACTGAACCACCCAGTTGTCTCTCAGGTTCCCTTTTCTAAAAAGGGGATATCAAAAAGAATAAAGAACCAGCCATACAATCTTTTCTTTAAATGTATGGGAAACATGGTACCCACGTATAGTTCACAATTTGATTGGGGCATTTGGTTTGCCTTGTCTACAATTAAATGGAACAATACACAAAAATGAAAGCCCATTCAAACTTTTATATTTTCAATCAGCAAAAGAAGGTGCTCAGATCTCGTGAATTACCTGTCCTGTTTCATAGGTGGCACCTGTATTGCTGTTACACATCTGTGGAAACACAATATCAGCCAACTGTTAATCAAGGATCACTTCCCTTCAAAGTGACTGATGATCCACTGTTAAAACAGCTTATAAAAATAACTTCTCCTTCGAAAAGGTGCTTCAGGGTTTTCAGACACATCTCACCATTCCTGCTAGCTTAATGCATGTTTGAAAGTTAATTTCTCATTAATATTTAAAGAAGAAATGGCTTCAGAACAAATTTTAAATGATCCATTATATTTTAGAAATAAAATATTATTGGCATTATTTTCATCTCGATTACAAGGAATAATAATGTCCAAGATTGGCTTTTAAAACTGTTAATGAGCCCTGGCAATGTGAAAAAGATAAGGATTAGGTAGATGTAATGAGATATGATTAAAGGGTGCAGGCACTGAAGGGTGTTGGAGAAATTCTTTTCTGAAAGAGTATAATTAGTGTCTGATAAAAGTACTTAGTAGATAAGATTTTTGAAGAAGAAAGGTTACGATAAACACATACTTTATGACAAACCTGCTTAATTTTTCCCCTTTGGTTCCCTTACATACTCAATATTATGTTGAAGTTTCATACATAAATAATGTTTGTCAAATACTTCACGCAATTCTACCAGACAATTAGAGTGTTTTAATTGCCAGACACGGAGAGCAGAAAATGTGTTGAAACATCTTATTCCATTTTCAGTGTACATTTCTTTGTTGATTTATGTAATGTAGCTAATAATATGCAACCTACCCTAGTTTTAAACAAACAAATGAACTTCTAAAAAGCAAGCTTTCCATAAGTTGCTAAGCAACTCCAAAGGCACATTTTATCAATTTAATAAATAACATTTAGATGACAAATCCTTGAGGAAGATTTCTAACTCCGTTTTATAAAAAGTAAAAAATCCAAGCAGGTACCCTTCTGATTTTCCTATTTCTAAGGCTTCGGGGCTAGACAGAAGCACTGCCATTTTCAGAGGCACATTTGACTCACAAAACAAATAACATATTTTGTCATCTGAAATTGTTATGTAATAGAAGTTAGGTTCTGGGACTCATTGTGTAGCTTTCCAGAGTTAGAGCTCATGCTTCATTCCCATAACGGACGGTTTCTCAACATCAGCCCTATTGACACTTTGGACCAGATAATTCATTGCTGGGGGGGGGGGGGGCGGGCTCTCCCATGCTTCGTAAGGGGTTTAGCAGTATCTATCCCTGGTTTCTAGTTACCCATGCCAGTAGTGGCCCCCTAGTTGTTAAAACTAAAAATGTCTTCATGGGGCGCCTGGGTGGCGCAGTCGGTTAAGCGTCCGACTTCGGCCAGGTCACGATCTCGCGGTCCGTGAGTTCCAGCCCCGCGTCAGGCTCTGGGCTGATGGCTCAGAGCCTGGAGCCTGTTTCCGATTCTGTGTCTTCCTCTCTCTCTCTGCCCCTCCCCCGTTCATGCTCTGTCTCTCTCTGTCCCAAAAATAAATAAAAAACGTTGAAAAAAAAATTAAAAAAAAAAAATGTCTTCAGACATTGCCAAATGTGCCGGGGGTGGGGTGGGGGGTGTCAAAATCACACCCAACTGAGACAGTCGAGAACCACCACAGCTGAATAATGAGTAAATATGCTGTAAGAAAGATATCTTGAGCTTAATTGGTGATGAAGGCACCGTGATATTAGTTGCCATCAGTCAACACCTAATATCTCCTAGTGCCACCAACAATGAAGAATAAAGGGGTAAGAATGATTTCAGGGGTACTGTGGCTCTTGTTCCATTCAAGGCTCATTACTGACTTTATCATTTCACTGTAATTTCCATTGTATAAAAACTGGGGAGGAAGGGCCTAGCCATAACTCTGTCTCTCTAGTAATATCCCATTCCAGAACTGCATTAAACTCTTTTCTCCTACTCGTTCTCCCTCAATTTTCCCTATACTGGGTTGCTGGCTAGAATCATCCTAAATATAACTCTCAACTTTAATAATGCCACTCTCTGCTCATAGGGCCACAATAGGTCTGTATCACTTCTGTTACCAAATACAAACTCCTCTGCATGGTCTTTAAGGTTTCCTACAAATTACCACCAAACTCCATCTCACCAAATATCTTTCTTCTTCTCCATTTACGCCACCTTTACCCCCACAAACGCAAACGGCTTGCATACACCCATCTCCCTATGTGACACAAAAAGGACAAATTCATTTCCGCCATGACTGTTTTCCTAATTAATCCTTCCTTAATTTCTTATCAGTATCATTATCCTTGTTAGAAGAATGACATGACTGCTAGTTAATATGTGAGGCAACTGTTTACTGAATGTCTTCAATATGCCAGACACTGAATATTGCATAGTAGCTATTTCTACCAATTTATGCTCACATTACTTATGCTCAACTAGATTGTAAGTTCCCAGAGGATAAGAACAGGTCTTATTTGTATCCCTCTGAGGCCTCTTAATAATGATGCTAATAAATATGCTTTAAATTTGATCAGCAGTTATAACCTTTCAAATTACTTTCATGGTTATTAACTTATTGATTATATATTTTCACTACTTTATAGTCAATGAAAGTGGGACATTACTCTAGGGACTAGTCTATGGGTTACACAACTGGTGCTCACTAGAACATGCATTTAATATATGCTGACTGACTGCAGTCTCACAACTTCACAACTATAACATTTCTCTCCTGTTTCTAAAGCTCTTATGGCATTTAAAAACAAATGTTACTGTAAAGAACAAATGCAGTTCAATGATGCAGGAGACACAATGCAGGAGTGAATCAAGGGTTAAACTATGACATAGCAGGAAAGCAAAAGATAAATTACTTAGCTACTGCCTCAAATTGGGTAGAAGAGATTAACTTCAGGGCCACCCGGGAGGCTCAGTTCGTGAAGCGACCCACTCTTGGTTTCGGGCTCAGGTTAGGATCTCCTGGTTCATGAGTTCGGATCCCTCATCAGGCTCTGTGCTGACAGCACGGAGCCTGCTTGGGATTCTCTCTCTCCCCCTCTTTCTCTGCCCCTCCCCTGCTCATGCTCCCTCTCTTGCTCTGTCTCTCTCCAAAATAAATAAATCAACTTAGAAAATAAAGAGATTGACTGTATAAGACCTTGACCTCTCACCACAGAAAGTAAAACTTTAAAAAGAAACCAGAATGGAAAGGAAGAGCTGCAGAAGGGTTGAAAATCCCCCCAATTCTAAAAATCACAGCATTTTAACTTTGTACATATGACTTGGTCCAAGAAAACGTTTTCAACAAGTCTCCATTGATTTCCTTCCTTCCAAAATGTCTGTAAAAACCATTTATCTATCAAGCTCTCAACTGGCTTCAACAAAACATCACAAGTCAGAGGTCAGCTGATTTCTGAGGCTACCCACTAACTCTAAGCACCGTGTGCCCAAAGAAACAGTGTATTTATTCAGGAATTCTTTCAACATTTATGGCAGGCCTACTAAGTACAAATACTGCCGTAGGCCCCGGCGTGGAAGGGAAAAAAAAAAAAAAAAAGATGCCTAAGTCTTAGTTGCTGATGTGAATTTGTCCAGGGAACTCAGGGGTAGGTGATCTGAAAAGGCAAAAAAAAAAAAAAAAAATGGTTATCTTCAATGGGCCTTTTCTCTCCACCTCTAGCCCTCCTCCACTGCACTCCCCACCTCCTGCTAGGTTTAAGGAAGCAATGCAATGAAAGGAAGTGCGGAATTCAGAGAAACGACGGGAGCAAGCGAGGACCCCAGTAGCTACGGAAATATAGACAGGACAGCCCTCCAAAGATCCCTCAGCCACGTGACTGGGCGGAAGCGCCCGGGTTGCGGAGGTTCAGGGCCCCACAGGGGGACCGGAAGTGCAGGCTCCGGTGTGCGCGGGGGAAACTGCCTTGAGCAGGGTTTGACCGTAGAACCGAGGGCGTTCGAGAACGCTCCGGGGTTTCTCTGACCACAGGGTGCCATCCCATCATAGCAGCCTTTCTGCAAAATGGGGATTTTTTTTTTTTTTTGAGCTTTTCCGAAGAGGTTCCTAAAACGTGGCTGTAACCTTGGCGTGAGTTGCGCAAGGAAGGGGCCGCGCTCCCCGCCCCGCGTTTTTCTGGCCGAATCTGCGCCCCGCACCCCCCGTACGGGGAGGGGAACGGGCACTCGGCCTCGAGTCACGCGAGCGGCGTGGGGGATGTTGACCTGCCTGGCGCTTGCCGAGCGGCGCCCCCTTCCTGAGAGCGGAAGCCTGGAGTGGGAGGCGGGACGCGGTCCCGGCGGACGGGCGGTTGAAAAGCGGTCACTCTGGGGCACCGGGGCTCCGACGGGGGCCCTGAAGATGCGGGGGAGGGGGCGGGGGAGGGGCTTCGTTCTCGCCGCCCTCCTTCTCCGAGGCCCGGGCCGGGAGCGGCGGGGCTGGAGGTGACCCGGCCCGAAGCGCTCCGGCTCCGCGGACGTCCGGGCTCGGGCGGCGCCGTGCGGGCGGCTGAGGGAGCCTGGGG